CGTACGTCGGATTGTGGCTTCTTTTTCCGCCTTGCACGGCCGGCATGCGACATTGTAATTTTCTTATATCCCAATTTCATCCCAAAACAACGTTTTTCACATGTGAGGAGGCTAGTTTCATAGAGTGTACCGAGTGAATTTCAAGTTTTATGGTCTGAGAACGCATTAATTTGCGTAAAATGTATCATAAACACGTTTAGTTCGGGTTCTCCCGTGTTTATTTATTTTTCGGGTTCTCCTGTGTCTTGGACGTGCGCTATCGACTCCGTTTTCATCTAGTTGGCTGACCCTGCAGCTGACAGAAGTAGAATGTTTTCCTACCGAAAGAAACTTTGCCAGCCGTGTGGAAGTACTTGCTCCTTGCTTTCAGGGTGATAGTAATCTATCGAAATTAATTATGGACATGGTCGTTGTTGATGCAAGAGTTTTTGGGGAGGGGGGAGACGCACGCCCCGGGATTTTGATGGGCAGACTTTTAATTGTCGCAATTCTTAATACTAATACGGAGACCTCTTGACGCAAGCTACCTATGAGAAGACAACAGCTACAAGATTATGAAACACAACAACCACAAACTACTGCCGGTACGCCTCAATTTTTATTTCTTGGTAACAATCTTGCCGAATTTACCGGAGACGGAGGGATTACTACACGTTACATTGTATTCATTCACGGTAGTTTCTTAAAGTTTGCGCTGAACAATAGCTTTGAAAAAAAAGTAGCAGTTTTATAATAACTATGACCGCGTGAGAAATACCTTATACACATTATTTTCGTACATTCTTATGCTTCAACACCATTAAAATTGTAGCAAAATTGTAGCAAAGTTGACTGGCGTCAGACTCCATCGGCCCAGCACTGATCGCCCGGCAGGACGTGAAAATAAACATTTGGCACGCCGCCATCGCCGTTCCGAGCCGCGGTAGACTTCGGGGTCTCGCACCAAGTTTTTTCGCTACGCGGTACGCGGGACACGACAGGCCTCCCGAAAGAATACCGCGGGATATCCCGCAATCTCCCGCGTGATATCCCGCAAACTCCCGCGGGATATCCCGCAGTCTCCCGCGTGATATCCCGCAAACTCCCGCGGGATCTCCCGCAAAATCCCGAATCCCGATGATGCTTATCCCGCGATCTGTACTGTAAATCACCTTATATTCGTGGTAGCTAAATTTTGCGGTCTGAGAAAAATGGACATGTTTGTGGTGGCGACAGGTGCAGAAGAAAGAAAGTTCGCAAATTATTTGTTCACAGTATTGATAAATTTGCAGTACAGAAATGGGTGCAAAAATTGTGAATATAAATTTAAAGTACTGCGAATACAAAGTGATTTACAGTATTCCATATTGCTATCATGGTATAGTTACATTTATTGTTATGAGAAAATATCTAAGCGGAGTGACTTTCTCTACAGAGTACCAGCGGACGCTCTGCCAACAAGATTGACGTCTACAAACTGCTGAACTTTGACGACTTTGCCCTGGACGACGGTTAGCTACAATTCTCTCTTGATTACTGAGATGTTCTAAAGATGTGTCTTCATAAAACATGGCTGTTTTTACATTTTGTAAATAGAGTATGAGCTGAGATGTACAGTCATGATGACTATAAAATGAAGAAACAAGAATAGCACAGTCGTTTAGTGACCCTGCTTCTAGACCAAGAGGTTGTGAGTTTGAATCCCGGCTGCTGCTGCTCACCTGACATACATGCTATTGGAAAGGGTCACAGTCCTTAGAACTGGACATGAAGTCATGGTTCATTGTACTTGGGAATTTTACAGATGATCCTGTTAACATTGTACATAGTGTCTGTCTGCTCTGTTACAACCGGTGGAAGAGTAGATCGACTGCTCATAATGAAGCAAACAATAAGTGTCCAGTAAAAACATGAGCACTTCAGTCGTAGTAAATCTTGAATTGGGCTATGTATGAAGAAGAGTAAGGGAAAATATTGTGAAAATCTTTGACTAATTTGTATTTCTTTCTTCTTCGTAGACTCCCTGCCTCCGCTGACGCAAACGGACGTTGAGGTGAACATCCCCATGCAGACGTGCAAGCTTCTGCAGGGCAACGACCTCATGTCAGCTCTCGACCAATCAGCAGCCCTCTTCTGATCAGCTGACCTAATGATTTGGACTGCTGTTGAAGTTTCATCCACATAATTGTACATTATACACAAACTGGTAGTATGTATCCAGGGATACGGTCAGTTTTAATTTGTCTGATAGCACTTGAGTATATTATTATGATCTTGGAAATCTGTACATACATTTATTGACGAGTTAACTTGTGATTTGATGGGAAAAGGGCTTGAGACTCCCTCAACTACAGATAGACAGAAATCAAACGACATTATCAGAGGCACAAAGCTCAATCATGTGGCAGCGTGCACACTGTAGAAATAGCACACAAAACCTTCAACATTTACAGGGATTTACCTTCTGGGCTTTCCAACTTTTTCATCATTCTGTTACAAAAACGCTACAGGCTCACATGCTTTTGCCATGTTTGCTGTCCTATGGGCTGTATCTAGATTATGCCCAGTGTTGTCATATGTAATTTAGATATGTATTCATATCCATGTGATTTTATCTTTATGATGTTGCTGTATCAGAAGGAAGAATGACGTTGGTTTGATGTACGTGTAGTTGCATTCAGATAGAGCAGGACGATAGACAATCTGTTGCAGGCACAGTGGATTTTTAAGTTTTTCGATTACTGTCACCAACTTGAAAAATGTTAAAGAAAAAAAAGTACAAAATATATACATAAGTCTATTGCAAAAAAAAAGTGTTCTACTAATTGTGCACCATGGTTTTATTTGTGAGAAGCACATAGCTTGCACTGAAACAAGACTGCCAAGCTAAATGCAAGTTTGGGACTCTACTACCAAGTGTTGGATGGAAATAAGTGTCACCATTCTAACATTCCAGTGTTTGATACACAGACAACTGACACTTTTGTGAACACCTCATGAACACTTTATGAACACTAGCTGTGTGTGTGAAATGGTGACAATTTGGCACGACATAACTGATTTCATGGTGCAAGGCTGCATTCAGTCACATTGACACATTCATTCACACTAAAAAAATGTACATAAAATCAAAGGACAAAAAAATGGTAGACAGTATTTTTTATAGATCATTGAGGAGACGCCAGCAGTTTCTAACAGGAATATAGTTTTATGGGACTCTGATGAAGAGAAATGTTAGGTGCTAAATGTACAATGTACACTTAAACATCAGTAATAAACACAAAAAAAGGACAAAATAAAAAAACCCAAAACATATCCTACATGGGTGCTGTTGAGTGGTTATAAAAAAATTTTTAAAAAAGTATAAAATAGTCGCCGTTTGTCAAAGAAAAACCATGCTGGATATTGGAGGTGAATTTGAAGTAGATTGTGACATTGCTTGTGACAATACTAACAGTTTAGGCCACACAGATTTAATTTCATGATTAAAAGAGTGCTCTTTTTTGTGTTTCTGCACCCTGCCCTTCTGAAAATCCCACCACAGAGCACAACTTAAATCAGACACGCATTGGAATTACTGAAATAGGGCAGTTTATTAAAAAAAATATACCGTACAAATAAGGATAATTAATAATAGGAAATGCCATGTCAAACTATGGCAGTACTTAGTCAGTAAACTATCTCTAGACTATATTTAATGCGATTTATGCTACCTGAATACAAGATTTGTTAAACAAGTCTGAGAGAAGTTAAATATGTGTGGCCTTGGAAGGATACAGATGTCCCAGTGAGACAAAATATCTGGAAAAAAGAAATCACAAATATTGTATGAGTGGCTAACTTTGTCATCTCTTTTGTCTTCTGAATAAAGTATGGTGTGATTTGAAGCTAGTGTTTGCGTTTCTTACTTTTCCTTGAATAGATTTGTCAGCTGCCAAGGCAAGTTGTATAGGACAACTTTTCTTCATGACTTGTGGAATAAGTGTAGATGCAAGGACCGTGCAGCTTTAATTTCATGTCTATGGAAATGGCCAATTGCAGCACATTGGCAGAATGCACCTACACAAAACCTGTAATGTATTGTGCATAGCAGTTTAACAGACTATCTCTTTTAAGGTCGTATACGTGTTTATAAGGATGACATCCCGTCTATAGTTTTCAAATGCTGTTTCAGAAAAAATACTCTATTGTCTCCTTGCATAGATGCAGTGCATTCTGCCGACATACTCCCAAATGCTTGTATAAAAATTTGTTATCTTGACCCAAATATGACAAACTTTCCATAATGAGCAACATGAAACACTCAAAAGGAACAACATATATTGTAAGGGGCAAGGGAAATAAAATCTATGACAAATTTCCTTTTTCATACCTTAAAAAAAGCCATCATGCCAAAGCAGAGCTTAGAAATGAAGAAAAAAACATACCTGAGTTTCCTGATATACTTTCTTTGAACACAGAAACATTGTTTGCAAATCAAGTTCATAGGGTACCATGTTAATAGACCTGTCAGTCAAGCTCTGTTTTAATTATTTATGTTGAAAAATCTAACCTATACAATAGACGATGCAATACATAGGGCTTGTTTGGGCAAAGTTGACAAGAGAAAGTGCTGAAAATGACTTATTGAATTATCTGAGGTAATCTCTTCACAAATAACGCGGATTAACTCCGTAAATCCGTCTCAGTAGATTGTTTTGATCGGCCGTCTGTGGCCCTAAGCGCCCTTTGTGTGTACTCCCAACAGGTGTGTTTATTCAAACACTCCACATTGTTTTAAACCTACGTAAGTTGCCATAGTTTAAAACTGATGGACTCGTGTCTATTCATTGCCTTCTCTTGTCTGTTATTTACTAATGTGACGTTAAATACGGCATTTTAGGGCGTGCAATTATTACCATTGTTATCTAGAATTGGGTCGTCCTAGGATGCTATTGATTCAATTAGCTGTTCCAATCGCTGGAACCTATCCCTCTGATACAGATTAAAATCTAAGATTGTAAATCAATTCACCCACTACCGCTTAGAAAAATGACACCATAAATACACCAAAGTAATATTCATTATTGACATGACTTTCACGAAATAATAGGCTTTCGTATCAAGGAGAAACCTCCGTAAATGTTGTCACCTCGGGGGTTGGTATCGGTGAATGTAAGAGCCTGTGCAGGTAATGTACCGGTGAGGCGTGTCGGATGTCAGTCCACATGGACCCCGGCCCTGGCAACGTAACGCTATCCCTCTGGCAACGGCGGCCTGCAGCCCTCAGTGGCCAAGGTAACTTCACCAAGTCTACACAAAATGCCGATCTTCTCAGACCCCAGCACACAGTACAGATGACAACATGAAAGGTAAGAACCTAACGTAGTTAGAAGTATCTCGAAAGGCCCGTGTTTTCTTTCCCTTTGGTTTATTTTTTGCACAAGTTGCGTTGACAATGGACAAGAGTCAGTGATTGACAACACTTGAAGGGTGTCGGTGGGTCCCATTATGTTTTACCAAAAGCATGAAACCCTACAGCAGTTGGGTAGATCGTCTCAGAAGGACAACATGCCCTGTCCTTCTCCAAATTTTAGTCCGCCAGGTTTTTCTCCAAATGTCGGCCATGTTGGTCGCAATTCATCATTCGGTGAGTAAAAGTTTAATAGCTGTGGTGGCAGACACACACTCGCAACAAGGGATCCCAATTAGCAAATTAGCCAACAGACACTTTCTGAATAGACGGGTGTTACGTGTCATCCAGAATATGGCACATCGAACAGTTTGGTGGTCTTACAATAAGTATAGAACCGTGACTTTAACAGGACTGCATAAGTGTTTAAAGATCCGGGATTATCAACAAGATTTGTGACAAAACAAGATTGATTAATTGATTGATTATATGTGGCTTTCGTTATTGTATGAAGGTGCATTTCTGAGGCTTTCAGTTGACTTTTTGATTTTTAGTCTCACCGCAGTGGTAATTAGATTAATATAATTAACAAACTTTATTTTACATCAGTCATTTATCAATTATATCAAATCAGTTATTCGTGCAGTACAACTGTACTACCGGTAGTATTTTTCTTGGGAAAATTTCTAACTTCCCACACACATTTTTTCAGGCATTGACGTGTCCGAATACAACTTAGAGGACCTGCTATCCTATGATGACCTGTTCCTGGACTATTTCAATGCCTTCCTGCAACTCCCGGTAAGTGTGTTAACAAATATCATTAAAAAAAATTCAACATTTTATATGAAAACCCTTTGCTTCTGAAGTTTAGTTGTTGCATCTGAACAAGTGTAGCATGCTATAAGTTAGCCTGCACTACATGTAGATATTTGTAATTCAGGGGGTTAGGATGGTAGAATTCTGACTGGCCAGGGGATCTGGAGTGGCCATGGGTCCATCTTTAGAGTTTCATATCCCCTCGAAAAATTTGTGGCCAAATGAACTCTACGGTGGTCCAAATGGCATCATTCTCTCTACTTGGCTAAATTTTACTGTTTTTGAACCTACGTTGTTAGTCTTGTGGAGACTGAGCTACGATTATCCCTTCTGTACTAACAACACCAGGCTTTATCTATTGTCGGATTGTTCTCTGTGCAAACACATTCGATAAGCTGTTTCCACAACGTGCCTGCTGCAACAAAAGGTCGGTGCTTGGTCACATGATTAAGGACGTTGTCAAGCTACTTGTTCTGTAGACTTTGGGTCGTTGATCACCGAGGAATGAGTTTTGGATTGCAATTCAATCTGCAACCTGTATCTCCAGACCTGTTTTTCCCTTAAATAACACCCTTCTTTTGCCTGGTTTACATGTATGTAACTTTAAAGTTTATCATAGTTTTTGACTAGCCTCCACTATTAGCACTGACTAGAGGCTCTTAACAACTGAGCTTTTTTTGGGAACCTTTAGTTTGTAATGCATTTTTTTCCTTTCTGGTATATCACATCTATTTGTACTGGGTTCTTTTGCCAGCCCAGGTGTAGCCAGGAAAATAAGATCAATGTCCGTTTTAACGTCAGTTGTTCCCCATCTCCCAAGGGTTAGCCTTGCTTGTACACTGACTCAGAGGCTGAAGCTATGTTAAGTTGAGGTGATGTCCTCCCTAAATACGTTGTCAATCCATCTCTATGTTGGTCGACCTTGTGGATTTGGAGTACCACATTCAGTGTGATCGATCTTCCTACACCCGTAACTAATAGAAAAGTGATGTGCCAGTAATAATAAAGCACTGTGGAGAAGGTAGTTTTGACTTGTTATATTTTTGGCGTATGTCGTAGGCTTTCCCACTACCACTGAGATACAACCGTCTGACCGCTACCTTTGAGGAGGCGGAGGGTTCCCGTAGCACGGTCACCGGTACCCTGTGTGGAACACCTCCCCCCATCTGGGGCGCCACAGACGAGGAAAGGGAAAATGTCTTAGACTGGGCCAAGAAGGAGAGACTACCACTGTTTCTCAGGTATGTTCGACTCTAATACATGCATGTATGAGATGAATAACAGGGTTGGAATACCTACTCTCGCCGTGCAAGTCATATTCATGGCAAACTGAAAATATTGATGGGCAACCTGTCAAAAAAAGTATTTCGAACACCGAATAATATCCAGGCAGATCTTTTGTTGGCTACAAGGCAATATAAAATTGGCAGGTAGTATCCAATACAACATTGAACACATAAAAAAAGCAAAAAAAAAGCACAATAAAACGCCTTACTAATTAAATAAAAAGACATCAAATTAAGGTGACTATGCATGGGAGGGTGGGGGCTTGTGATTAAGTTTAAGTTCCCCTCAAGTACAACTTACAAAATTTTATAATGTGGATTTTCTGTGGTTTAACTTTTACTACATTACCAGTGATAAACGTTTTCACAGATCCAGACATCTCAGGAAAAAAGACTGTCTATCATCAAAATGAAATAAGGTTTTTTTTTTCAGATCGAGACATTTCAGGGAGTACAAGTTGTGCAAGCTGCTCCTGAGACGTCTGGACAACAACCGGCAGTCGCTGAGCCGTCAGAGCAGCCGCGGGATCCGCGGGTACAGCCAGCCAACCAGCAGCCTCGGAACCAGCTCCAGTCTCACCACCACCACATCCACCGAGGAGGATGATGATGATGATGCAGAGGAAGTGGATGGTGAGATTTTCACAACTGTTGTTTTTGTTGGTTTTTGTCTTCCTTAACTGAGGTGAAGCATGATGCCTTTTCCACAGTATTACCACCGGGAACTCGGACAAACTAAAGACTATTAATTATAATAAGTGCAAGACTTATCGGTAAAGAGATACAGAGACTCCCAATTCCATTAACCTAACACGATTGCTCAATAACTGTTAAGAACAGAGCGAAAGATTACCAATTTTGAGTTCAGAATGTCATTTCTCTCACTGAAGTCTGCGTAATATTTTAGAACTAATCAATATTGCTGTTGTTGTCTGTTTTTAATAATGAACTGTTTAAAGAAAATTCTAACACTCGTAACCTGTGTTATGGCTTCAATTTTAATTTGATCCAATTATGAGACACGCGTTATAAATATTGTAAGTTTTACATAATTCAGCCGACAGCTGCGAGGTATCAACTGAAATAAACAATTCAAGACATTAATATACATTGTATAGCTTATAGTGTAATGTGGCTTCACTACAGTTCGCATTGCACTGTGTCACCCCTACTCTTCTCAATAAGTGTAGGTGTGTTATTTTACATAATTTACGGTTCTTTTACATGTAGAGGTTTGGTGCTTGAGGCCTTAATATGCCTAAAACTTGCTCATACACGGGGCTGCCAATTTTCAATCACTGTCTGAAATGACTGCAAATTACCTTAATAGATGCTGAGCCAACCCTGGGATTGAACTTGCGGCCACAAGTCCACGGAATTTCACCCATACAGCTAACCAGAGGGATTGCATTACTTACTGCTTGTGCCACAAGATGTCTTTAAGCTGTTAAAAAGATGAAAGTTGCACATGTACATGTACATCTCCGATTTCATCAATCATTTTAGTGTGTTGGCTTGAAATTGGTGGAATTAAAAATATACTTTAACATATTCTTGTGATGGATACAGTATATATACATAAATTTTTCAGAGGATATTAATGGTGAAATTTTTCAAAGCAATTTGGATAAGTAAAGTTCCTTTCTAGATATCTGATTACATTAATCATTTTAGCACGTTGGCTCCCGGATAACTGGTGTCCAGCTAGAGCAGATTGACTTTTGACATACCAGTAGTCACAATGGAAGGTAAAATACAATGTAAATGTCCTAGTTTCACTCACATCCTTTAATTAACTTCTATCATTGCATAGAAAATTGCTTAAGTGAGACAACGAAAAAAAGGAGCTCTTGACTATATAGCTTCATTTCATTCAGGAGTTTTCGAATTTGATCATTTCCACAAAAAGGTTCTACCATTTTTACTTGAATGTACATTGTTACATTTATCAGGAATTAGAATAAAATGAAAAGTATATCAAGCCCTACATTATATCCTAAGTCTTAAATGGACATTAGGAGTATAATTACAAAATCCTCTTGTATTATAGATACTAATTGCTTGTCAGAGAGCATACAGTATTTACACATGTACCTTGTTTCAGGGTCAGTACTTCTATCCCCTGGTGCCGTCTGTACCTAGTAACCTTTCAAAACTGCCCGCTCGGGGATTTTCCAATGTTGTGTGCAGTGAACTGTTTACAAGATAATTGGGTGTGGGATTTGAATTTATGTGCCCAGTCGAACCTTAACTCGTAAACATGTCACCTTAAAGAAGTATTCAATCCATCAAAAGGACTTGTGTCTCCCCTGGTATTGTCTATCGTATCAGATTAGTCTACGGAATGTGAACCGTAAACAACCTAGAGAACAAAGACACTGACTATAGGCTAGTTTTTCATTTGGTTGAACTGAAAGAATAGCAAAGAAATGAAAAAAAAGGAAAATTTTCAATAATGACAAAACACCTTGTTTACAGAACACACTGTCGGGTGCTTTTAGCATCTTTGACATTCAGATAAAAAAAACTCCATGGTGATAACTGTCCCATTCTGTATCTTAATCAGCGTAGCCCAGGTATAAACTCTGTACTTCAGTGTGTATACCAGCTTGGCAGGCACAAAGGATGGCGGAAGCTGGTTGTATTACATCAAGGAGCTTCATAGTTACATCAACATGCAACTCCAAACATTGTTTAAGGGACTATTGATGATGCCCCTATCTACTGTGTACACTTGTAGTTAGTTTCAGATTGCGATTCTAGGAGAAAAAGAATGTGACTGTGTGAACACCTCTCATCAATACTTTCAGGCTGATAACTCTGTGAAGGGATCAAACTAATCAAACATAGCTTACATAGCTTACATTGACCATTTTACTCTAACTTACAGTTTGGTCATATTTCATTCATCTACTGCATGACTCCAATTTGCAGATGCCGAATACAGACACTGATACTGAATTTGAAGGAACTTTTGGAAGCAAGTGTGGTAATTGGTAGAAGTCTGAGTGATAACAAGAGATATCACACCCATATTGGACATTGTCACTGCTCAGGTATGACATAAAATGTGAGATTAAGCCACTGTGTCTGTTACAGACAGAGGACATCATGCCCAACAGCCAGCAGAGAGTTTTGGCAGCTCTATGGGCTGGCCGGAGATCAGTAGTGCAATCTTCAGGTACGCTCGACCTGGGAGCAGGGCCATCAGCCTACCAGCCAGCATATTTGGACAAGGTATGTTTATGAATAATCTGTGTATGAGGTAACTGATGGGGTGATTGGGGTCTTTTCCTTTCTATAGACTGAGGTGCAATTTGATAGCTCAAAAAAAAAGTTACAAATTCTACTGCCTTACATAAACAATGGATTGTCTGGCTTTTGTTAGTTCACATTGTTGCTTATGTTATTTTATTATTTTGTTACTTACTAGTTAAAATGAAGACATGCACTTTTCCCTAAATAAAAAAAACATTAAATGAAATGAAATCATAGTCCATAATATCATCTGTCTTCCATAACTATTTGACTGCCAATTTGTTAATTCCATTTATTTGCTTTATGGATATGGTACAATTGTCAAACAGAATTAATGATTTTCATTGTATTTGCACTGTCATATATGATTGCACTTAGTGAATACTTCGATAAACTGTTGTGTTCTATTGATTCATTTACAAACTTAAGATAATTCAATTCAGCTGGCATCATATATAGATCTTACAATGTTGTGAAGAGTGGAAAATTTTTTAGATTCATTTTATTTGCTATGGCATATATGGTTGTACCAGTGAATACTTTGCTAAACTGTTGTGTTCTATTATTTACTCGTAGTTGACGATTGAAAGATACATGGTACATCAATTTAGTTACTTCATAGATGGTACATTGTCAAACAGGAGAATTATTAATTTTCATTGTATTTGCGATGTCATATACCACAGTACATAAACTGTATGCTGTTTTTTTTTCTTCTGCAGCGTACTCAATGTATGGCAGTGAGGAGGACGGAGTAACGACCTTGAGCCAGCCCATGTCCTCCATCAAGATGGAGGGGGGAGGGGGGCAGGCAGACAGCAGCAGCCAAAGCTCCAGTCAGCGCAGGAGGGCCACAGCGGGGGACAAGAGGGATTACGTCAACAAATATCCCAACATGCCCCCAGGTAAGGCTTTACAGGATTTAACAACAAAGATTTAAAAGAATACCGGAAGGATTACTTTAGAAATCTTTTAATCCCGAAACCCAGAAGTGGATTGCCACAAAACATCATGCAATTGTTTGCTCAGATTCCTCAGGTATTATACACCTGTAGGTGGTGTTATGAAGTGTCTGATTGTGTTTTTGTCTGGAATTTTCCACAGCTGAAACTCTAGCAGGCCTTGGGCAGATCAGTGACTCTGGACTGGGAACGACGACCATTCAGAGTGACTCGCGCACGCACATAACAACCAGGGAGGGTCTGACCACGAGAGATGGCATTTCCAGCATGGAAGAGTCAGTCAGTCCTGAAAAGGCAGCAGTGTCTAGTCCCAGCAAAGCTCCAGGTACATATCATTTTATTACTTTAAAGTTATGTCTATTTCAGCTAATATCAAACAAATGTACACGTGGAAAGTACACTTCTGTTAATTTACATATCTATTTATCAATTTTTCAAAATATCAAAATTTTTTGTGGACAGATGTTCAAAGAAAGGTCTAAAGAAATATTCACATAAAAGGTGTACCAAAACAAAACACATTAAGGCAAGACAATAATAAATAAATTTGCCAGCAGAAAATTGCATGTTACAATTGCAACTATTAAGGTGTATTTTTTGCCATCATTAGATAATTGATTAATTAATTATTAATTAATTAATTAAAGAAAGGAAGGAAGGAGAGAGAAAGACAGGAGAGAAAGAAAGAAGGAAAGAAAGAGACAAAGAAAGAGAGAGAGAAAGAAAAAGAATTATTTTCTACAAAGGTGATGGTAGGGTAGTTGAATTGTAAGAACCCATTGCAACATTTCCAATAGAAAGACCCTATAGCTGACTTTTGACCTTCTGTTGTTAATGCCAGGTGTTCCTGTAGTCCCAGAAGGTGCAATACCAGAGACAGTGGGTCCCATGCCCACTCCACAGACCTACATTGTTACGGGTCAGGACCAGAGACAGGAGGAAGTGAAGAGTGTGGACACTCTGACTCAAGACCAGGATGACCAGGACAGGACACAGGTGCAACTGCCGCTGGACAGCTTTGCTTACCTGTCACCTGACTATGATAGGTAAGGAGTTACAAGCACATCAGCAAAATGCACGACACCTATGCAAACACAAAACGTATTGCGTACAGAACATCTCTTGTTAGGTCGTATTCACATATTTAATAAATTAAATGTTTTAGTTTTCAAATGTTGTGTCAGAAAAGAAAACATCTGCAATGGACAATGTTGACCAAACATCCAACAAAAACTGAAAAATCTGTTGTTGTTTTTGTAGGCCCAGTATGTTCTGTCAGTGTGCTAGAGTTACCAGATATCTTGATCAAGAGATGCCTTTTAAAATTAAGGCCTGTGTGGGAGTACCTATCACAATATCCAGGGAATTCTGATCAAACTGTGATGCATTGAATATGATTTTCCAATGAGTAGAAGTGGACGATGCTAGTTTTAGGTTTTCATATAGGACATTAAATTGATATTTAGACTTTTTGTTGTAAATGGAGTTGTTTGATGTGGTTTGTTTGCATTTAGAATGATATAAATTATGATTTTGTAATGATTTCTTGAAGTCCCATTCTGCACATTAGTACATTTGGTTTTGCTCTATCCATGGTGCTGAATAACAACTTTTGGAAGACTTTTTGATAAATTTTGCTCTGTCCATGGTGCTGAATAACAACTTTTGGAAAACTTTTGATAGATTTTGCTCTGTCCATGGTGCTGAATAACAACTTTTGAAAGAGTTTTGATAGAATTTGCTCTGTCCATGGTGCTGAATAACAACTTTTGGAAGACTTTTTATAGATTTTGCTCTGTCCATGGTGTTGAATAACACCTTTTGGAAGATTTTTGACTTTTTGTTTTAATTTTTTGTTTTTGTCAGCCAAATGGTGGTGTATTTGATACTTTCTTGCCAATTTAATCATGTCTTGCCAATTTGATACTGCCTTGCCAATTTGATACTGTCTTGCCAATCTGATACGTCTTGTTACTTGTAGCCACCAAAAGATCTGCTTGGAGATACTGTCCCCCTGAATAACAACTGTAACATCAATTTTGTCTTTCCTTTAAAGGTTTTACACACCCAACAACAGGACGACATCAGCCCCAGCTGGCTCCTCGGCCTCACCCTTCAACCTGGCAGACGCCCTGGAGTACTTCCAGATGTACTATGACTCTGACGACGAAAGAAGAGATGGGGAGGAGTACTTAACTTTTGAAGGTAGATTCGAGTCCTTTTCCATAATGAAATTATGTAACATCTACGTACTAAGTTAAGCATAATTCTGCCAGGTCACATATATTGGCCACCCTGGAAAAATGCATCTAAAGAGATGTAATTTTGTTACCAATGGTATGGCTCTAGACCAGTTGTCACTACTTTATTGAATTCTACGACTTTTATGAAATGGCTGTCCCCAACTGTGTTAGTCTCCATGGCAGAAATCTTTTGTTGAAAAAATAGATAACCCGATTCAAAGATTGTCTGCCAATTGCAGTTGTTGTAAAAGCTAAACATTTGAATGCTGTTAGATATTCGAAAATTGATATTTGGTTTGAAACCTTGAAGGGACTGTCCTTGGTGCTGAATGGAAATTAATTCAAATGTTGCGTCTTTTACCTTTGCTCGTAGCACCACCAACTTTGATCTATTGTCTACCCTCTGTCTTGCAGATGATGCTGCAAGTGATGAGAGGACAGAAGAGGATGTCCGCACCTTGGAGGGAAGAATACAAACAACTTTGCATCAGCTCAAGGAGGTTGTCTTGGGGAAGGTTAGTTCTACATTCCTCTTCATATTATTCACAGGACAGAGGCACTGTTTTGGGAGGCACTGGTTTAGGGGGAGTTTATAAAAATGTATTTCATCTTCAACAGTAGGGGTTGGAAGTGAGTGGGTGGAAATTGGTGTTCAGTTGATTGACAGGGCTGTGACTTAGTATGCCCTGGTTGGTGGGATCTGGTGTGGCCAGGAATGTGTATTGTGCAGTCATGCTATGAAACGATTGTATGAGTAAATCCATTCTATATGGTGCAGTTTAATCACTTTGTTGTATTTCCTCACAATTACACTATAGTTCTAATACATGTACATTCCCAAAATTTCACTTGTGAGTGTGAGTGAAAGCTTTTTTTCATTGTAAAGATGCTGCCAAACTCAGTTCTGAATACAGAAAGGTTGGGATATCAATTGTAGAGTTAGTGAATTGTCATAATTTTTTCAAGCAGAAATCTTTCCTTATAGTGTACCTACCTATAATGGGTGTGTTGATTGCCCCCCTCCCCACAGTTGTCTGGGATGGAGTCTTTCCATGACTTCCTGTCTGACACGGCAGGAATCCACCTCTTCAACTTCTGGCTGGACTGTGAGGAGTTTAAGGACAGCATGGCTGCTGCAGAAGAGACAGAACAGACCAAAACTCTCAGGGCTAGGCTTTTCAGGTACATTTTTACATTTTTTTTATTACCTTTGCCCATTGAAGGTTATGTTTTCAGTAGCATTTGTCTATTTGTGTGTGCACAGTCACAGCATAACTCAAGAAGGTACAAATGGAATCTAATGATATATGGTGTGTGGATAGGGTAGCCCTAAATCTGGAAATGATTAGATTTTGGGCCCCTTTGCAGCTTTCCTTGGTACTGCAGCAGAACTTTCGGTTTCTCATGATCTAGACATGTTAGGCTCACAAATTCTCATGGAAGATACCTCTTATGCTCTGGAATAAGTGTCATTAGTTTAGTTCCCCTGGCAGCTTGTTCATATATATTTCCGGAGGATTGGGCATAAAGTTCTAGCATACTTATCCAGGCCCTTTCCTCACAAATGCAATAAAAGTAACACCAACAAAACAAAGGTAGTTGACTACCAGTAGCACATATACATGCACAGACTCTGATTCAGAGTCCTTGATTTTCCAAAACTATTACAACACTTTTATCAGGTACGTTTTCTGTTGGTAACATTCTGTGAATTATAATCAACCATACTTTGGTAGAGTGTTTCACATCTATGGTTGATCTTATATTACCCCTGCAGGGATATTCAGGACAAGTACAAGTTCAACCTGACACCGGATGCACAGGTATGTGGTGCTTGTTTATCTTTTAGTTGCTTGAGGCTAAGGTTACAGCAGGTTTGTTTACTATACTGCCTATATCAGGATTTATGACCTTATGTGAACAGGATTGACTTTCAACTGAAAGTTAATCTGTGTTCTTGGTAGAAGTCAATGAAGCAAGTTCAAGCCTAATTTCCAGGACAAGAAATTGTACTTAGTACCCAAATTTTTGACTGTACAACTTCAGTCCTAAATGTCAAGGAATGATCAATCCACTGCTTCTGTGACGTCACATTAATGTTATACAAATGATAAATGTGACTTGGTGAGCAGTGGATAATAGGTTGCAGAAAGTCTGTGGCACCCCCTGTCTTTGTTGGGGGATGGTTGCAATGCCCTCAGATGTAGATTGCCTCTTTAGGCCTAGGTAAAAAAATGTTGTGTTTCCTCTTTCCTGACCAACCCTAGAAAAAGCTGCCAACCCTAGACTTTTTTTGTGTGTGGAGCCCCATCAGACCTTCATACCTCGTGCAAAAAAGGATCGATCTTCAGTAATGATTTGAGCATGTTTGCTTGACCTTGCGCTGACTAGTTTGAACTTGTTGTTTGACCTTGTCGTTCTGTTCTTCTAACAGCATCAGATCCGTGTTGCTCAGGAGAACGAGGGCGTGAGCTACACGGTGTTCACCCGTACGCAGTACGACGTGCTACGGAGACTGCGCTCGTACTGGGTACCAAGGTACCTGGTGCACCGGTCTCTCAGTCAGCCACAGGACCATAGGTGAGACCTCTGTTTCATTTTTGGTAGCTAAAGATGATGCACTATGATACGTATACTTCACTTTAAAAAATTTGTTAACTTTCAATCTTTCTCCAGGGTTTATAAAAGGTCTTTGAATCAGCCTTTTCTAGCAATCCTTCCATGGTGAGAATTTCCGAATTGTAGTCTATCTGTATGTTGGAATACCTGTAAATCACTTCATGTTTGCGGTAGCAAAAGTTAGCAGTCTGAGGAAATTAGACAATGATGATCATCATGCAGGTGCAGCAAAAAAAAAGTTGGAAATTATTTTTTCATGGTAATGACAAATTCACAGTACAGAAGTGGCCGCGATAACTAAGTACCGTACAAAAGTACCGTAAAAAATCATGCTTTACAGTAATCCAGGAATCAAATTCTTGCAGGTTTAAGAAAGCTGCGCCGATGCTAGTGCGAGAAACCACCGGCCTCTCCTTCCTCCCTTCCATCACGTTCTCGGCATCGCTTCCCGTACGCGGTGACGAACTAGCGGAGCTCGCGCACAGCCACAACTGGGAGGTGGTGGCGCAGGGTGGGAGGAGGCTGGACGCGAAGTACGGTCAGGAGAAGAGGAGTAGCGTGGATGAGAAGGCCCTGGAGGAGAGGGTGCTGGCAGGGCTGGGGGCTGACAGGTCTGCGGGCGGACCCTTCACAAGGTTTCTTGAAAAGTAAGGAACAATTCTATCAGTAAAGAGCTATTTGCAGAAACCGTGGATCAAAACGGTCAAACTAAAAGTGGTCAATCCTCAGTCTTCGTAATTTACATGTATACCTGCAATTCCTGAAAAAATTAATTTGGGTTTTAAGATTAGTCTTTTGCGACTGTTAAATTAAATACATTGTAAGACCAGAAAAAAGTGAAAACATTATACTGTTGATTTGAAATTCGTAATTTATAGATTCATGAGGAAATGCATGTAGCTTTTTATAGAATATTTCATCGGGTTGGCAAAAGAGTCTGTACGAAGGTTCTTTGGTCAATTAGTCAACAACCTGGGGTTATAATATCTGACATTTCGGTGACAGTCTACTGTCATCTTATTTTTAAAAACAGTTTTTATTCAATCAACAAAATCATACAAAAGCAGGGAATGCTGCATGCATCCCTGAATTGTGTAATTGATTTTTACAATAGGTTAAAAAAACAAGACAGGACGTCAGGTACACAGAAAACACACTATATACAAATATGTACAAACACCATTCACTCTGCTATATGCATGCAAATAGCAGGCATATTTGGCCTAAAGAAGGTGACAGACAGTCACTAAAATGTCAGATGTAAAAACCCACTGGTTGATCAATGAGTAACCTTTTACATTCAATGACATTTTTTTACAAATTGGCATTTTTACATTCAATGACATTTTTTTACAAATTGGCTAAATGTACTGCACCTTTACAAAACCCCTAATGTAATTGTGCA